TGCTCGATGGGATAAATAGGGTATTGAAAGAGTTTAAGAATGTGATGCTAGAACAATTGTCTAAGGTTTTATGACTTCGAAGATCAGTGGACCACAAGATTGAACTTTTCTTAAGAGTAAAACCCTTTGTGAATGGTCCTTATTGAATGGCTCCACTTGAGTTGGCTGAACTAAGAAAATAATTAGATGAGCCATTGCAAGTTGGGTTTATTAAACCATCCAAAACATTTTTTAAGGCTCAAATGTTGTTTTAAAAAAGGCATGACAGCAATTTGCGGCTATGTCTAGACTAGAGGGCTTTGAATAAGGTTTTATGATAACAAGTACCTAATCTTTCTTATAGCAAACCTATTTGATCAGTTAAACCATACCAAGTACTTTTCGAAGCTTGATCTCAAGTGTGGTTGCCATCAAGTCAAAATTATGGATGGTGATGAGCCAAAAACTACTTGTGTAACAAAGTCTAGTGCATTTGAATTTCTTGTTATGCCTTTTGGATTGACTAATTCCCTTGCCACATTTTGTACCCTAGTGAATCATGCATTCCATGACTATTTGAGAAGTTTGTGGTCATATACTTGGATGACATTATAAACTTTAGCTTTACGTTGGAAAAGCACTAAGAACACTTGAGTCTTGTGTTTCAAAAGCATCGAGATAATCAGTTGTATGTGAAAAGGAAGAAATGTGTGTTTGCACAAACATAAATCCATTTCTTGGGCCACATTGTTGAATAGACATGGAAAAAGTCAAGACTATCAAGCAGTGGGCAATATCGAGGAATGTCAGTGAACTTTGATCATTTTTGAGACTATCCAACTATTATTAGAGACTTGTGAAAAGGTAGTCTCACAAAATAACAATGTTCACCGAGTTATTAAAAAAAGGGCATAAATGGTGTTGGACAATTGAATGCCGTAAAACATTTCAGGGTCTAAAGGATGTTATGTTGAAATACCTTGTCTTGTCTACCTCTAGCCTTCGAAAGCCCTTTGAAATACAAAGTGATGCATTTGATTTTGCTATTGGGTGCATATTTTTGCAAGCATGGCACTCGATAGCATTTGAGGGCCAAAAGTTAAGCAAAATAAAAAATAGATATACATCTTAAGAGAAAGAACTTTTAGCTGTGATCCATTATTTAAAGGCATGGTGGCATTATTTGTTTGGCTCTTAATTTGTTGTCAAGACTGATAATACAATGGTTAGCCTTAAGAGAAAGAACTTTTAGCTGTGATCCATTATTTAAAGGCATGGTGGCATTATTTGTTTGGTTCTTAATTTGTTGTCAAGACTGATAATACAATGGTTAGCATTTCCTCACCCAACCATGACTTTCAGGCAAACAAGCAAGATGGCAAGAGTTCTTTATTAAATTTGATTTTTGTTTTGAACACAAAGTTAGAAAGACTAACCAAGTGGCCAATGCATTAAGTAGATGTGCAAAGTTGGCAACCCTTAAAAGGATTACTCCAATGTCTTCTAGTAAGGTGACCATTAACATCTAAAAGTTAAATAAAGAGAATCTAAAAAATAACCCTTAGGCTAACTCTATCGTGAAGTTGGTAAAAGAAGGGATGTCTAAAAATTTTTGGGTGGAAAATGGAGCTTTATTAATAAAAGAGCTACAACTATTTGTGCCAAGAAAAAAATGCTTAAGACAAATGCTAATGAGAGAATGTCATGACACACCTTAGGCTAGTCATCTTTGTTGGCAACGCATCTTTGCCTTATTCAAACAAGTCTATTACTGTCTTTATATGCAATAAGATTTAATGGATTACACCGAAGCTTGCCTAATTTGCCAATAAAACCAATCAAAAATGAAGAAATCGATAGGTATGCTTGAACCTTTACCCATGCCCACTAGACCTTGGAAGCCATCTCTCTTAACTTTATATCAAGCCTCCCTCAAGCCATTGATTTTGGGTTTGTTTTGGTGGTAATTGAGCATTTCTTGAAGTATGGCACATTCATCCCTACCCAAAGGTATTGTACTACGAAAGGCATGACTCGTTTCATATTTTAAAATGTTGTCAAGAATTGGGCATTCCACATATTATTGTCAGTGACAGAGATCTGAGATTCATTAGGTCATTTTTTAGAGAACTTTTCAATCCATTGGGATCTCAACTCAATATCTATTCAAGTTATCACCTATAAATAGATGGTCAAGCCAAGAGATTCAATGGTTTATTGAAGAAATACTTAAAGTATTTGTGCAAGCTAATCAGAAGAACCAACCTCATTTGTTAGATGTGGCTTAAGTTTGTTTTCATTCCAATAAGAACTTTTCTATCAATAAAAATCCCTTTGAAGTGGTAACTAGGCAATAATAAAGGCTGTCCCACACCTTTCTAAAGCTTTATTGAGGAAAAAATTCTTGAGCATTTAACCTCATCAAGGAATAGAAACAAAATATAGAGATTGCGTAAGCATATCTAAAAAAATATTGAAACACATGAAGAAATGGGCAAATAAAGTCATAGGCACAACACTTCAAGGTTGGTAACCTTGTACTTTTCAGCTAGTACTTAAGCAACTCAGATTCTTAAAAAAACATGATCGTAGGTTAGTGCATAAGTATAAAGGTCTAGTGACAATCTTTTTTAAGGTGGGGATGCTTCTTACAAGATTGATCTGTCTAAATAGATGAAGGTGCATCATATGAGCAACCTAAGCTTTACCATGTAGATCCCATAGATACAAGTTGTAATAAAGTAACTAGGGCTATAATCAATATAAATCCACCATCAGAATGTCAAGTGAAGGAAATTTTAGTAGATTGGCTAACCATAATGTCTCGAAGCCCCATCAAAAAGTACTTAATGAAATGAAAAAGGCTTATGACTAGAAAAGATTAGTCAGAAGAAAGATCATGACCTCTCTTTAAGTAGACAATTAAAGAATTCTAGTCCAGCAAGTTGACGAGGATGTTAATAGATTAAGTGAAGGAGGATGTCGTAAGCCAACCTTGTATAGGGCCATGACCTGGCATAAGATGTTATGAGCCACCCTTGTATAAGGCTATGACCAAATAAAAGTGCCAAAAGGAAAGCTATATCTTGTGTAGTAGGAAAAAGTGTCCCCATTTCAAATAATGCAATGATTTTTTGTAGCATAATGGTAAAAGCTCTTAAGCTCTTTAGCTTTTTAGAATGGTTGAGTAGTTGACAAATTGTTAGGCTGTTTCACTGGTTAAAGTACGTGTCCATCTACCCATCTAGAGCTATCCTTCTAGCATCAATAATGGTGGAAAACTCAATACTCATTTTGTAATCATTGTAACCCTGTGGATATTAATAAAACATTTTTTCTTTCAAGGCACCAAGGGTCAAGCTAATGTGCATCTATTATGTCCCAATATATCATTGTGTATTATTGAGATTAACTTGTGACTTATTTGTTGCTTGTTTAGATTTCAAGCTATTACAACTGATTTGTGTGGAAAGCATCCATTCAAGTGTCAAATGGGCTATTACTTCATTAAGAGAAAGTTTAAAGCATCCATTCAAGTGTTGTATGGGTTATTGCTTCATAGAGAGAAAACTTAGTTCATGACAATAGGCTACTTCATCAAGAGAAAGCTTAGTCAACAACACTAAACTTGATCTTGACTCACAATAGGGCTTTTAAGCCTATATGATAGTTAGTAGAAACCCAAGTCTACCAAGTCACCAGATAGCAAACTTTTAATTAGTAATTATTTTCAACTTTAACTTTATTTCATTTTAAATACATTTCAAAAAATACAAAAAAAAAGGAAAAAAAAAACTCTTTAATGACCTTGAAGAAAATTTTGGTTTAATAAAATATTGAAAAATATTAATAATCAAAATTTAAAAAGTTTGATACAAAGAAGTCAAGGTTAGATACTATTTATGAAGAGGGGAGTAGTATTTTTCCTTGCAAGCTTAGCAATGAATGATATTCAAAGGATATATTTATAGTTCAAATGCTAATTGAATTTTTTTTTTCGTTTAATATTATTCCTTACACCAAATTCAAGAGAACATGCAATGCATTAACTATTTTATTAGTCTTAAATTTATCATTGTTTTGAAATGGAAAAAAACAAATGTGTTCTTCAAATTAAATTTATTTAAATTTGTTTTTGCTCCTCAAAGTAAAAGTATTTTTAAAAATTATTTATTTAAATCTAAATATAAGTCCAATTGCTATTTAAAAAACATATTATTTTCTTTAGACTCAATATAGTTGTAATACTATTGATATAGAGAATGATATAGAGAAATGCAATTTTTATGTACTTTAACTTAAAAATACAAGTTCAATTGATATTCAAAGAAAAAATTTTTTGCTTGAACTTAATATAATTTACACTATTGATTTCAAGAAATGGAAATTTTCATTGTACTTGACTAGAGTTTTTGTACTAGAAAATAAAAATGCATTGAGCTCAAAAAATAGCTTGATTAAGTATTTTGACAAAGTTTTATTTAATTCAAGTTCTGGTTATACTGTTTATGCTTTTAAATAAAATTGTCTTTCGAATGAAGTCCAACTATTTTTCATGTCATATTTATTTTTGGATTCAAAATTTACTTTGAAAATTATTTTAATATTTTGAACTTAGTCCTTTCTCAAAATGCAATTTCACAATCTTGGTCAAAATAATTTTTTGAAAAAAGTTCATACTTCTTCAAAGTCAAAATGCCCGTAAAATTGATTTTGTTAAGAAGGGATCGATCCCTTAACAAAAGAGCTATCCATTCTTACACAGAATGGTCTCGAAGGGCTGCCAAGCTCTAGAATCGATCTCCTGACCTTTTTGAAGGGCATAACATGGCCCAGCAAGCATAGGGACTGTTGCTTTATGTCTAAGGATCAAACCTTTAAAAGTTAATTAACTCCTTTTGCCTACAAAGCATAAGGGTTGGATTTTTAAATTTTACAACTTAGAGGATCAATCCCCTCACGCCTGATAGCAACCAAAGGCTACTAAGGCTTCTTACCCATGAAAGGAATCCTCCTACACTGTTCATCATTAACAGACATTACTTGCAAGAGATATCAAACTCTTCTAGCATTCAAGAACTTTTTAAGTGTTGTAGAGCTTTATTTCTATATTCTTTTGTAATTCTTATATCCAAAACTTATTTCATATTCATTTGTCTTTTAATTTTATATAACCTTTCAAGGGTTTGAGTGGAGTTACAAAGGTTAAAATTTAACCTCGAAAGGTAGATGTAGAGCTAAAAATATAATGAATTGGACTTCTTGGCGAAGGAAGCCGGGTAGGCAAGCTCAACGAGAAAAACGTAAATGCCTTGAAAGATCAAACTTACATAAATTCTTGTATTCGACTCTTCTATACCTTCCCCTTTATTCAATTTCAAGTTTAATTATGAGTGTATTTTTATCTCTCCTATTGTCAATTTTTTTCTTTTTGGAAAAATTTGTGTACGCTACTAACTATTGTAGAATTATAGTATTTCCATCATGACAGCAAAAGGTACTTCCTTTCCACTTCACTTTGCTGCCCTCTAGCCAAATGATGATATATAAATCCGTTTTTAGTTCAGTAAGTTGGGAGTACAATTACTAATGCAAAGTCCAGCATCTCACTTCCTTTCATCAGCATTTCAGCTGGGAGGGAGCGAGTTTAACTAAATTATGCATGCACAGCTGCCATCCTGCACTCAAAGAAGCTCCCACTCTGAATCCAAGACATCATGAGTTAGTGATCTCCTCATATCCTCTCCTCCTTTTAGAGCTAACATTGAACTCCCCTCACAGTCTTGCTCAGATTTTACATCATCTCCATACCATAGTGCAAGTTGTTTGTATTCCTTTTTCCTTGTCGACCTCATTCTTGAAGATATCGCATCACGAATCTTTTTCTGGAAGAAGATAAAATGGCCAACCAAATATCACGAGAGAGAAAGAAGGGCAGGCGCAGTATGAGAAAAAAATAAAATAAAATGGGAATGTAAAAGCACCTGGTAAGGCTTGTGTTTGCCTTCCCTCTGATGATGAAAATGAAGTTCAGCTCCATTCACCATGATACAACTTTCATCAACTCGTGTCTTATCTAATGGTAAAACAGTTTCAATTTCCTTTCTACCAACATTACTGCTCCTGCTCCCTGAGGTATCCATGGTCCAGTTATTTGATTGTCCTGCAAAGTTCATGAACCAATTAACTTGCATATAAAATGAGGAAAAAACAAAATGGGGAAGAGAGGGCAGAAGGGGAAGAGGTGTTTTCCAGTAAGATAAATGATGGCAATTAAGAAAACAACTGAAGTTCAGAGAGGAATTTAGATGATCACAAGATTCCTTAAACTTTTACTTAACTGGTCATTTTATTTCAGAGATCAAATGTTGTCTCTCTTCCCCCAAGTTTTCCCTGGCTATAATGGTGGGACTATTTGGACATTCTTCTGGAGCAACAGTTAGACAAGGTGATCCCTTACCTCAACTCTTTGCTATAGCAATGGAGGTTTTGTCCAAAATGCTAGATCAGGTAACTTACTCATTTTTGCTTTGAGGATGCTTTTGAAAATGTAGTCTGTTACCGATTTTAGATTAAGGACTCTCCCAGTGAGGTATCTGGGAGTTCCCTTAACCACAAGGAAATCAATTGCCAAGGATTGCGGCACTCTCTCAAAGAAAGATATCGAATAAGATTAATGAGTGGGCTGTAAAGAACCTTTCATATGAGGAAGACTACAACTAGTACAATCTGTATTATTTAGCTTCCAGAAATTTATTTTATCCTTGCACAACAAATTATCCAACAATTGAATCAAATATGTGCAGCCCTTTTCTGGAAGGAAGGATAAGTAGCCCACTGGTGCAAGGTTAGCTAAAAGCAAATATGCCATCCTAAGACTGAAGAAGGATTAGAGATCAAGGACCTCAAAGCTTGGAATCAAGGTTGTTAATACCGAAATGAGTAATCTTTTGGTTTACTAAAGTAGGTATGCATTGGTATCTGTTGTTTCAACATATCACTTCTGGTTTTCGATTCAATAAAAATATTTATAAAAATATATAGACCTGTATCAAATATTACTATTAATAATTTACGAAATAAATATATAGAAAATTTAACATTGAAAACACCTAAAAATAATAAATGCAACTCCTTGGCTAGACATAATTCAGTTTTTATTATGGATGGAGCTAGACACTTTGACACTAACAAAGATTAAGAAGTTTTACACTTGGGCTCTAACAAAGACATCACAACTTCACAATTCAATACAAAACTCTATTCCATCCTCATTCATTTCCTTCATCGCGAAGAGAACTCAATAACTGATGAAAAAAGAGCACCATATTTGTACACATTGCACTGAATATATGTAACTTTATATCCAACACACACAAAAACAAGGAACTTTTCTCCTTTTAATAACAATAGAGGGCACCAGAAAATTAAAAAACCATGACTAAATGGACTAAAATGTATTCGCAATGGGACTCTAGAATCTTTGTATGACCAAATACTTCACTTAGATAAAGGATAATCGCACTAAAGGAAAGAACAATAATTCACATTTAACCTAAACAGGCTCCAACAGCATCGCTAAATTTGCAAAATCTTCAATGTAAAACACAAATTTAAGTGACATCATCTCAGAAAATCATACAAGGAAATATGTTTACATAAAAAAAAGTCAAATAAAAAGTCAACAATTTGTATGCTAATGTTTTAAAACAAAGAGGAAAAAATAAGAGTGACTAACATTGGCTTTAAGCTGACTGGTAAACTTCAAACTGAGAGTACCAATGGTTCCATTGAAGAGACTAAAAGAGATTTAGGATCTTGGTTTGGGAACAAAAAAAGTGAATGCTGAAGAGCAAATAGAAAGAGGAGACAAGGCTCACTGAATATTAGGTTTAGACTTTAGAGGTCTTTTATCTTTTTAGGTCAAATAGTCAACAAGCTTAAAAGAACCAAAAACATCCTATTTCATATACTGCCTGAAACTTCATATTTCACAGAAACACGCGAAAATTAGCCTGTATTGTCTGGTACCAAAGGCGGTATGAAAAATGCCCATAATTATACCAGCTTTAGTCCTAATTGGCACATCCAGCACGTAGCCAAGCAAAATTAACAACCTTGCTTGGAATACCGCATGAATTTTGAGGAATCCCTGCACCCTGCTCACTCAGTCGAGTTCTATCTAGATAGCTAGGACAAAATCCAATATTCTAAAGGTTAAGACCTTGCAGAAAATTCAACCTTCTCAGAACCACAGCTGGGGATGAGAGAAACTGCTTAAACCGAGGAACCTGCCCTTTCCTTTGTCAAATAGCAGAATGGCGAGACTGCTTGGTTAACTCTGCTTGTAAGTACAGTGCAGATAGAACTTGCGAAGAAATCAGGCATAAGCTAGAGAAAGCAGAATGACATACAGTTATATGGTTTAAGCATTATATGCCTAAGTATTCCATTATTGGTTGGATGATTATTCTTGACAGCCTTCCTACAAAGCAAAGAATCAGCTCTTGGGGGATTCCTTCTTCTAACAGAAGTGTTTTGAATAATGAGAACATGGAGACCAAAGATCATTTATTCATTCATTGTGATTTCACTGAGCAGGTTTCTTCAAACAAGTTAGAGATTTATCAAGTGAATTGTGCAGCAGAATCTTAGGGGGAAACCTTTAATTGCAGTTGTGTTAAAGCTAGCTTTGAGTGCTTATCTCTACTTTGTTTGGATGGAGAGAAATAGTAGACTTCATGGTTAAAAGGCTAGTACCAACTGTCAAGGAGAATGTTAGATGCATAATTCAAGGCTTACATCAGATTGAATGGGATGGAATCAACAAGATGCTCATTAAAAGCAAAGATTTGTTTCAGTACAAGTAGTGTTTTCAACCCTAAAAACCATCAGCAATCTTTTGATGATTCTGATAATTCTCTTTTGCCAAGTGGAACCACATAATCACATGAATCCCAAAATAGTACCAGCTTCAGGTGTACTTTCCTCTAGAACTTTGAAACTGATAGGAGATCAAATAAGTGAAATGATAAGAAAGGGAGGGAAAGAATGGCATCGTTGCAAAGTTTAATCATGCAACATGCTAAACCCTAAATGTATGATCAGGTGGTAATGAGGAATGTTCTGATAATTAAGGGGGGATGTTTCATTGCAGACTAAGGAAAATAATTTTTGTTTCTCCTTGATACCGAAAAGAGAACAACTGAATTTTGTTTAAGCGAACCTCAACATGACTTTAATTTATAAATAAATAAATATATAAAAGAAGAGATTTGTTCTTTGGAGACATTTTCAGGACCTAATCAACTGAGAAGACTGCTCGACTTCCAACACTGAACTAGAAACAAGTACGATTCACACTACTGAATTTTAACATAGATTGAATAACTGAAAGAAATGATTTAACAAAGAATGTTTTGGCTTCTGGACAAAATTGGAAAACAATTAAAAATAAACATAGCGTAAACTCTCATCAAAAGTATAAATGTGGGAAAACACTTATTTACAGCTGGTTGTAATCTTGTAATCTGTATATTTATATTTGTATCTCTAGAATTAAGTATTTGTATCCCTAGAATTAAGGAAGATTTAGTTTCCTAGTTTAACCCCTAGTTAGTTGTATATAAACCTAAGATTCTTGTATAATTGTTGATAAGCAGTTTTCAATATACATTTAGTTTCCACATGGTATCAGAGCTTTAGGCTCTTCTTGGGAAGAAAAATTTTCAGCCTTCATTGCCGACTTTTTTAGGCCTTCATTGCCGATCCTGTTTAGGCCTTCATTGCCGAACCCTTTCAAAGAAAGATATCACTATCACCCAATTTGAGGAAATGTTAACTGGAAAAATCACTGGAGTACTACAGATGTCTCAGAAACAAGGAAAGTTCAACAGGGAAGAGATTGAAAAGCTGAGAAACTTATTGAAAATCCTTGAAAAGCCTACTATGGTATGTTCTTTGGGTAAAGTTTCTAGTTCAGGTAAAGCTTCCGGTTCTCATGGATTAAATGTCTCGGCTAAGCCTATTACGAGTTCTTGGGTCATTGACTCAGGAGCCACAGACCACATGACACATTCTCCACAAAAGTTTAGTACATATAACCTGTGTCCTAGTAATAAGAAAATTGTTGTTGCTGATGGTTCACTTACCACAGTGGCAGGATTAGGAGATGTTCAAGTTAATCCCTCGTTTGTTCTCAAAAATGTTCTTCATGTTCCTGGATTGTCTACTAATCTGATATCTATACAAAAACTTACCAGAGATATGAATTGCAAAGTAAATTTTTATCCCTCTTATTGTGAATTTCAGGACCAGAATTCGGGGAAGATGATTGGACTTGCTAAGGAGAAGGATGGACTATACTATCTTGAGACATCAAATAACACAAGTAGTATCAAAAATAGTTTACCTTTGTCATTTCTTTCTGAAAAATCTTCCAATAAAGACAAAATCTGGCTTTATCATTTTCATCTTGGATATCCTTTTTTTGGAACCTTGAGAAACATGTTTCCTTCTTTGTTCAAAGAATTAAATGTTGAAGATTTTCATTGTGATATTTGCGAATTTGCAAAACATAGACGTGTGTCTTTTCCAATCAGTAACAAAAGAAGTTCTACTCCTTTTTACTTGATTCATAGTGACATTTGGGGTCCCTCTACAATTCTTAATATTTCTGGTGCGAGATGGTTTGTTTCATTCATAGATGATTGTACTAAGGTCTCTTGGGTTTTTTTACTTAAATCCAAATCAGATGTGAATAGTGTGTTTTTAAGCTTCCAAAACATGATCCAAAATCAATTTGGAGTAAGAATCAAGAGATTTAGCTCTGATAATGCAAAAGACTACTTCAACCAGAGTCTATCCACCTATTTTCAAAAAGAGGGGATTATCCATGAGTCATCTTGTGTTAATACTCCACAGCAAAATGGAGTGGCAGAGAGAAAAAACAGCCATTTATTAGCCACAACCAGAGCCTTTCTTTTTCAAGCAAATGTACCTAAATCTTATTAGGGGGAAGCTGTTCTCACTGCCACACACATTATAAATAGGTTACCTTCAAGAGTTTTGGGATTTAAAACTCCTATGGAACTACTCTCACAATTTTATCCCAACCTCAATACCACAAACAATCTCACACCTAGGATATTTGGTTGTACATCATTTGTTCATGTTCACAGTCATAACAGGGGAAAGTTGGATCCAAGAGCAATTAAGTGTATTTTTGTGGGGTATTCTTCAACTCAAAAATGATATAAGTGCTATCATCCTCCTACCAAAAAATTTATGTGTCTGCAGATGTCACTTTTGAAGAAAATAAACCATTTTTTACTCAACCTTATCTTCAGGGGGAGACTTCATTCATGGAAGATAAGGATAAAGACTTCTTTTTGCTTGATTTGCCCCCTTCTTCAACATTTACACCCATTAATTCTTATGAGTCGAAACCTATTTCTGTTGAGCCCAAGTCAAACATTGAATTTGAGTCTGAACCCATTCCAAATACGGAAAATGTGACAAAGGATAATATTGTTCTTGATTCTATGAAGGAATTACAGGTGTACTCAAGAAGGAAAGTTCCAGATCCTGAACCAGTGTCAGTCCAAGAACCTGATCCTAACTCTGGAAATGAGATAACTACAGTTTTTGGCTCTGTTTCTCAAAATGAGCATGAATCTCCTAAAACTATAACTAGTGATTATGATTTGCCTATTGCCATTAGGAAAGGAACCAGAGAATGTACCAAGCATCCACTATACCCAATATCTAATTTTGTGTCATTTGAAAAATTCTCACCATCCCACAAAAATTTTCTTGTGAGCCTAAACACTATTTCTGTTCCAACTACATTATCCGAGGCATTATCCAGTGAGAAATGGAGGCAAGCCATGAAAATAGAAATGGAAGCCTTAGAGAAAAATCAGACATGGGAACTGATAGAGTTGCCTAAAGGAAAAAATCCAATGGGGTGTAAATGGGTTTTCACTGTAAAATACAAGGCAGATGGTACTGTTGAAAGATATAAAGCCAGGTTAGTGGCTAAGGGCTACACTCAAACCTATGGAGTGGATTACCAGGAAACCTTTGCTCCAGTTGCCAGGATGAATACAGTTAGGATTTTGTTATCATTAGCTGCAAATTACAATTGGCAACTTCAACAATTTGATGTAAAGAATGCTTTTTTACATGGTGATTTGGAAGAAGAAATATATATGAAGGTTCCACCGGGATTTGGAGGTCATCTAGAAGCAAACAAAGTATGCAGGTTAAAAAAGGCTTTATATGGCCTTAAACAGTCTCCTAGAGCTTGGTTCGGGAGATTTGCCAAAGTGATGCTAGCAATGAGATATAAACAAAGTCAAGGAGATCACACATTGTTTATCAAGCACTCTGATTCAGGGAGAATCACAGTTCTATTAGTGTATGTTGATGATATAATTGTAACTGGAGATGATGAAAAAGAGAGAGAATCTCTAAAACAGTGTTTGGCTAGAGAATTTGAGATAAAAGAGCTAGGGAGATTGAAGTACTTCCTAGGAATTGAAGTAGCTCACTCACGGCATGGTATTTTTATCTCACAACAGAAATATGTGATGGATCTTCTGAAGGAAACTGGGAAGCTTGCATGTAAACCTACAAATACCCCTATAGATCCTAATCATAAAATTGGAGAAGCTAATGAAGATGCTGCTGTAAATAGAGAGATGTACCAAAGATTAGTTGGAAGACTCATTTATCTCTCACATACTAGACCTGATATAGCATATGCTGTGAGTGTGGTAAGTCAATTTATGCATAGTCCTAAAGAAGTGCACCTACAGGCTGTCTACCGTATATTGCACTATTTGAAGGCCAATCCTGGGAGAGGTATCTTATTCAAAAGAGATTCGGGGTTAGTTCTAGAAGCATATACAGATGTTGATTATGCAGGTTCAGTAACTGATAGAAGATCTACCTCAGGCTACTGCACTTTCTTAGGTGGTAATCTTGTGACTTGGAGGAGTAAAAAACAGAATGTGGTGGCAAGATCAAGTGCTGAAGCAGAGTTCAGAGCAATGGCTCAAGGAATTTGTGAACTACTATTGGTTAAAGATTATCCTAGAAGACTTGAAGATCAAGGGGGATGGCCCAATGAGGCTCTACTGTGATAACAAGTCTGCAATAAGCATTGCACACAATCCTGTACAACATGACAGAACAAAACACATTGAAGTAGACCGGCATTTCATAAAGGAGAAACTAGGTAGTGGGTTGATTTGTACACTTTATGTATCAACCAAAGGTCAACTTGCAGATGTGTTGACTAAAGGTCTCAGCAGTGCAACATTTCAAGAAATTATTTTCAAGCTGGAAATGGAAAACACCTATTCACCAGCTTGAGGGGGAGTGTGGGAAAACACTTATTTACAGCTAGTTGTAATCTTGTAATCTGTATATTTATATTTGTATCTCTAGAATTAAGTATTTGTATCCCTAGAATTAAGGAAGATTTAGTTTCCTAGTTTAACCCCTAGTTAGTTGTATATAAACCTAAGATTCTTGTATAATTGTTGATAAGCAGTTTTCAATATACATTTAGTTTCCACAATAAAAATAAAAAACCAACAGCATATGGTACACACAGAAAAAACTTCAGCCAGCCACAAGAACAAAATTCACCTAGCATAACCAAAGTTCAGTATACAGTATTCACCAAGATGCAATGCAACAATCACAATTTACATCTGCAAAACCAGTACTAGGTGGTTCTATTCAAACAAAAAAAAAAGTAATAAAATGAAGCCCTTGTCTTTATATGAATTCCAACCTACAAATTCTTAGCGTCATTGATAAATAAAATGATCACAATCATAAAAAAAGAGATGGTTGACAGCAACTAGCACACAAAAAGCTTCAATTGTGACCAAAACAAAAAGTACCGGACCAATAGCAAAAGTCATTCAAGGAAAATGGAAAAAGAAAAACCTATTTTAAGGATTTGATACAAAATTTTTTTCATTTATTTATTTATTTTTTGAAGAGGAGAGGATGACTTACGAAAACAAGAACCAACCTGGATGTTCTTCAACAGGACCTATTTAAGAAAGGAGTTGCCAAACTATTTTAGCTAAAGCTTGTTAGATATAACATGCACCATATCTAATATTAAATCATCTAAATCATTAAAAAATAATAATAAAGGTTTTGAAGCAATCTTACAAGCTCCAAGTCAAAGGCAACGATGCACAATTAGGATTTCTTTAGAAATGGAGATGTAAGCAAGTTGGGATTGAAATAAACTTTAATGACTACAGCAGAGTGACTTCAGCATAAATAAAATAAGGAAAATAAAGCAAGTCATGAAGGAAAACTATATCCTGGAATTGTCAAAAGACATTATCCCCGATCGGGTTAACACAAAAAAGCTGTTATTGAAAAGGAAATACACACAGCTTCAGATCAAACTAAGGTGACTATTCAATTATTCACTGATGGTCATGTTCCAAAAAAGAAATACTACCAACAGAATTGCTAAACCATTTTTCAGAACTTCACTAAAATCATAATTTCCAATGCCAACAAAAAGACTTCCCTAATCTTATTTACAAGAAAGTTTATAAACTGCAGCTAAATGATATATAGATACCTGGAGAGGACGCAAAAGCAATTTTATCAGAAAATTCATTGTGTTGAATGTCACCATTGATGGAGCATCCTATTAAAGAAACCATTCCAGCATTTGAACAACTGTCTGCAGAAACTAAATCAAAATCAGTAATAGCAACAGTAAAACAAGTGAGGAAAATTTAAAACAATAGAGTCAAGGAATTCTCACCATTAAATTCTGCCAATCCTATAACAGAGGATGAACATCTCATTTCCATTTCATTTTTCCCAATTGACTCAACCAACTGTAAATCATCATTTAGAGTTTCAGTTATAGACTCACTTGCACTTTCAATTTCTTTACAGCTTTGTTCTATGGAGTCACAATTATCTTCTTCAGCCAAAACTTGGGTTAATGTTGTGGGCATCTGCCAACATGACACTTTGTAATTTGCAGCCAGAGGTAAATTCTCAACATTTGACTTATCAAGTGTATTGTAGCTATGCTCCCCAGAAAGCAAGTTAGAGGATGCTCTTTCCACAAATCTCTGAGGGCATGATTCAAATATGTTATCAACCATGTGAAGCCGGCAGGACAAAGGCATGTTGACAGCATTTTCATTATCATCAGCAATCACTTCTGAATCTTCAGATAACTGCTCGCCCTCACCCTTTATGGTAGCCTCCTTTAAACCTACATTAGGCTTTTTTAATGTCTCAGCAAATTTCTCTACTTGCGTGTCAGATGCAGCCACTGCTTTCATGGGCTCCGATGAAGATGGAAGAAGCAAATCCTGCATCACGTCTTGCATCACATCTGAGTAGAACTTTTTGACACTAGCACCTACAGTCTGCACCTGATCCTCCACGTATTTAACTGTGTCCTGTTCACAAAGATAAAAGTTAATGGTATTTTAATACCAATTTACGTGAGAGTGCCAACAGCCATGTAGTTTGTTGGTAGAGTGCTGGACTCTTAGTTCCAATGATCAGAATCAAATCCCGGCAGCCTCAAGTATTAAAAAAAAAAAAAATCCTCCATGGGAATTCACTGGACTGAAAAAAATAAAAGGCTACATCTGAATATAAAACACATCCACATGGCACAACAATGACAGCTCCAATATAGATACAAGTCACCTCAAATAAGAAGCCCAAAACATAGTAATACATAATTTTGCAAGAAACTGTGCTGTAGACAGTTATTCGTATGGAACACAACAAAAACAAGAGAGCAGCAGGATGTTAAGAAGGTGTGACCACCTTCAGGGTTCTCATGAATTGAGTCCATGAAACCTCATTTGGACTTGAACAAAGGATGGTGAAGATCCAAGAGAAGTTTATCGAAGGGGGCATACCTGGTACATAACTTCTTCCACCTCTAGGCACATGGCTTCAAATTTCTGATATACCTGTCCCACCCAGGTTATACCTTTTAAATCCATAGGATCATCAATCAACCTCACTAGAAGAGTTGTTGGATTTCTTCCACTATCTTCTGTTTGCAATTACCTTTAAATTTCAAGCACTTATCTGCAGGTAAGTAGATTTAAATTCAGTACAGTCTTCAAAGAACACAGAATGAATGTGTCAGGAGGTTCAGTTGAGACACATATATCATAGCCTGAGAGGAATATGCCAAATAACTGGAATCAAGTATAATTAGATTTGGCAATCACATTAACATTGTGCCAACCCTGACCAAAAAGACAAAAATAAAAAAAGGAGTTATATGGAAAAGAAACCCTTGATCTAGGAATAAAAGGAATGCTGGCCAAGATTACCAATTTGAATGAATAAGGCCTTATACTACTTCATAGTCGAAAACCATAAATCATGTATTACTAAAAGTCATCATCCTAATCTGTACATTGCTCTTACACAAATGACATTAGTCCCTTTGGAGGCCACTCTGTGGTCTGCTCTCCTGTTCAAATAATGCCAAAGCAGGAGCCAAAAGATTATTGAGCAGATAAAAAGCACTTAAAAAGTAAAGAAAGCAGCAAAAATCATGGAATCTTGATCAATACTCTATTTTTTCTTAATTTCCAGTCTTCATTATACCAAACTTCTGTTAGATAATATAAACTTTTAACCATATGACACAAAACAGCAAGCAAATGAAATAGTAGAATAATCACGGTGAACACATGATTAAAATATATCAAAGAAGACATTAATTCTACATATGCAATCAATAGTATACCATGCATAAAAGTTTCCAATTATCATAAATTAAAAGACAAAACCATACTTTCAAATCTTAACTACTATAAATAAATTGTAAAGGATCATAGCTTAATTTTCTTATGACAACTGTTCCCAAAGACCTAGCTTCCAGATAGCTACTCTATGGAAGACTTTGATGATGCAAATATCACCAGGGATGCTTGAATGTATTTTATTTAGAAGAATATAGGAAATGAGAGAAAACCCTAGCTTTAAAAGAAAACAATAATTAAAAAGCTAAATTATTTAGTATCCATTAAAGCATTAACAGCTTCAGCTAATATTACATAATTTCCAACCACATACCAAAAACTAAATAAAAGAACAAATTAATCCAGAATGATCATAAGCAAAGTTTGCAGATACAAACCACATCAAAATTTCATATGAAAAGATATTACCCACCAAAACAAGCAATCCAAAAAGAAGAATTTATTTTTTAGAAATTAAAGGCGGCAGAGAGTTTTGTTTAAACAGATGTTGAGAAAAAGAGGAAATTACCCCTTTCCTTTTCCTCTTCAAAAACTGATTGAAGCTGGATAACTTACGTGTTGTGAAAGATGAAGCAAGATCAGAAGCTGAAACTTTGTTAGAAAAACTCTTGGATTATGTTGTGTGCTCAGAGATTGTGAATGCCCAAATTATAATTTTTCTTTTTTTTTTTAAATTATTTGTAGCTTTGGTTTGAATAGAAATCGACAGAAAAGGCACAACAGGGTTCTAGTTCAGGGAGGGAGTTTGATCACTTTATAGACGCTGTTGGTATTTCGTAGACACGTGTTGTGTTCTCCAACAACACAGCATCAAAGGATTTTTCGTTTGTCGCTTCATTTGCTCTCAGTTTTTTCTGCTCACCTTTTTTCTATTATTATTATTATTATCTTTAGATAAAAATTTTTATTTTAATTTTAAAATTTATATATATATATATATATACACACACGTGTGTCGTAATTTATTATTATATATATTCAATAGATTATATAATTTATTAAAATTTTATATTCGATGAGTTACATTTAAGATTTAAGAAAAATAATTAATTAAAAAAATCTCATATCTTAAAATAATTTTTTAATTTTAAAAAATATGATTTTATTTTAAATAATTATAAGATTATTTACAAATTAATAGAAAAAATTATGTATATAGGTTTTTCTTTTTTCTTAATTTAAATGGTTTGTGAAAAACTTTAAAATTTTTTGAATTTACGAAACCTAAAAATGTTTAAAAATTTTTGAATTTATAAATTTAAAAACTTAAAAGTGGAATGAGTTTGAAAAAATACTTAAATAATTACATTTAGGAATATTTTAAAAAATGTATGAAAAAATAGGATGCAAATAGAAGCTCCCATTTTTTTTTTTATTGAATTGATGATAAAGTAAAATAATGTTAGGTCTTTATTTACTTTGCTTTGCCTTGTTGTTGTGATAGTATAGTAAAATTAGTGATAAAAGTACTTTTTATATATTTATTAGATAATTTAGTTCGATATAGTGATACAATAAAAACCTTTTTTTTTTTGGATTGGATGATAAGAATTAAAATATTGGTAAAACTAAAGATAAGTAATTAGTATGTTGTTAATTTGTTTTGAATTTTATATATGATAATTTTAATTTGTTAATAAGTCATACATTTTAAAATTTTACTTAATTTCCTAGCTAAAACCAAAATCATAAGTCCCTCAAAAGTTTCTAATTCATACTTTCAAAATTGATTGATTAAATTTTAATGTTGAAAAAAAATTATTTTTTTCATAAAAAATTGCATTCTAAAAATAAAAAAAGATGTTATAAATGTTAGGATTCAAATTTCAAACCTACTTAATGTTACACAATTATATGAATCAACTATCTATGATATATAAGGTAGTAATGTTTTGAATTATAAGAATGAATAAGAAATTTAAGGTCACACTAGGTGAATGGCTCTAATACGATGAGGATCATTCTCATCATGTACCAAATTGGTCCTAAATTAATGATAGGGAAAGCTAATGTTAAAAACTTTAGGGATGCAAAATGAAAATATGATAATGGTTCATTTCGGTTAAATATAATAATCTAAAATATGATACCATATATGAAAATGATATGAAAAAGAAATATAAAGGTGACATGGTTTAAAATTTTAGCAAAAAAAATATAGGTTTAACAAAATATAAAAAATATTTTGTATTTTTGTGTTGATATGAATTAAACACACAATTTTTGTATACAATATTATACAAATACACAAATTATTAGCATTTAACACAACATGAATATACAAATTGCTAGGTCTAAATTCAGTTTTGATTTAGTTAATTCAATTAATGCATAATATTATGGATTTTAAAAACCAATTCGAACCGACTTTTTTTAAAATCGATTTGATCTTGGTCAAATTCTATCAGTTAAAAACTATTCATTGGATTTTAAAATTTTAAATTTTTGTTATTATTTCAATATAACTTTTAATATAATTGTTAGCTCAAAGTATTGAACAAAGCAAAAGGGGGAATGAATTGGTTAATTAGAAAATTTGACAATATGAATACCAAATTAAACAATAATATCAAATAAAAATTTCTAACTAAATAAAAACAATATATATATGTACAACAACATAACTTGAAAAATGATGGAGTAGAGATGGAAAGCCAAACAATGAAAATTATAGAGGTTCATTCATTCCACAAAGCACTTACGTCTTCTTCTTAAACCTTGCTTGTCAAAAAGTTCAATCTACTATATATGTTGAATGTTCTGAAGGCTGAGCAAAATTTGATTAAAACTAAAAAAAGCAAAAAAAAAAATCAAATTTTCAAGGGGTAAGGTAATTCAGGTTATATAGGTATTTCCATTATTTTTTTGATTTAAATAGTTAAAACGGTCAGTTTTTAATTTTAAAATACCTAAACTAAATAAACCAAAATATCCGATTTAACACAAGATAAACAATTAAAAAAATATATAATATAGGTATACCCAATAACATGGTATAGGTATATTTAATACATGAAACAAAAACTATAATTGACTAACTCAAGAAAACCAACAAAAACTGATCACTTTAATTTGGTTTGATTTTTTTAGTTTTCCTTATATATATCAATCGATTTGGTTTTATAATAAACCAAATCAATTAAGTCGATTATTCAGTTTTTACATTCGAATTAACCAAACCGACCATTTGTTCAGCCCTAAATGCTACAACCAACCCTTCCAAAGCTATTGATACAATGAACCAATAAACCTCTCAATGGATTTTCTAACTTTCTTAAAGAACCATCAAAGGTTATACTCCTATTCAAGCTTACAATCTCAAGGCCTGACACAAGTATTTTTGTAAACTTAAAAACCTCTCTAAGGTTGGATATTTGCTATTTTGAAGTACAAATAAAAGATATGAATAATAGCAAGAAGATTTGAATACAAAATAAGAAATTATGCTCTTTCACACTTCAATTTGCTCTTTACTGCTTGAAAAAGATGAAGAATGTATGGCCACAAATTCTCTTGACTCTTAATAGTTCATGATATAGTGGGAGACCACTTTACATATGTAGAAAAAAAAAAAGCCATTGCCTTCATTTACTACCTTAAATGCTCTGAAAAAAAAAATGACTATTTGAGGCCGTCAAGGGTAAACCAATCAATCCATTTTTGGAAGGGATTAATTGGTTTTAGCCTTTAGAGCTAAAATGTATCCTTACAAAAGAATAACGAATTGATCCATTTTAGAAGGGGATCGATCCATTTTAGCTAATTTTGAATCAATGAAGTTTCTATAAGAAAAATCAATCGATCTATTCTAAGAATAAATCAATCCATTTTGCAGTTTCAAAATCAAAACTTCTTCTATAAGAAAAATCGATTGATCCATTTTTTAAATTTTCAAGTTTGAAACCTTTCAATAATAAAAACAATCAATCCACTTTTGAATGGATTGATTGTTTTAGGGTTTTAAACAAAATTTTTAGTTTTTGTGTATAGAGGATCAGTCCTATCCATAGGAAAATCGATTTCTTTTTCCTAATTTTGTACATGTTTTTTAATAAAGAAAAAAGTTTGGTTTTAGTTTCAAGTCATTTTTTATAAAAAAAATTACAATCAAAATTTTCTTTTTGGTTTTAAAACAATTTATCTAAAGTTTTAACTTTAGTATTTTATCATTTCAAAATAAGTATCAATTCAAGGCTAACAATTTTCTCTTTTTGATATAACAAAACTTAAGATAAATTTGCTTTGAAAAGCTTCATTTGAAAAATTTTCTCCTATTTTCAAGCCAAATTTTCAATATAAACTCCCCTTAAACATTAGCACAATTGAAATTTCATTAAAGCCATTTTAACAAATTTCACCATATTTCCAACACAAGCATACTTAGCAAATCCATCACATTTTTAACACAATAATCACTTAATCAAGCAAATTTTGTCCATTTTAACAAGTCCATCACAATTTCAAAAGCATGCAATATATAAGGCTAAGCAATCCCTTCCTTTTTTGTAATAACAAAAAAGATCAATTTCAGGCAAACAACTAGCATATATCAAAATTCATGACATTTAAGGCAATAAAGCAACAATTTAGTACAATATCACATAACCAAACATAAATTAAGTTACAAAAAAGTGAAAGCTATGCTATTGATTATAAAGTATGCAAGGTACAAAAGTAAGAGTTACAAAATCAATGTCCAAATGGAAAAGTTAAATGCTTAAAAAGAGTTTATATTTAAGAAACCTAAGGTAGCCAAGCAACAAAAGTAGGTTATAATGGAAGAGGAAAAGGTGAAAATGTTGAAAGCATTGCTTCATGTTATATTGAGCAATCCTCACGTTGTAGATTTGATCAATGCCATATTCCCAAACCTAGTGTTCATGTTTCCACTCATTGAATGTATGCTATTCATTTATGTCATAAGAACTTGTAAAGCTAATTAAATATTAAAAGGTGGACTAGAGGGATCTTCTTGATAATCAACATTATCCTTATGTTCATCTTCTTGCTCAAATGCAGCCTCATACTTTTTAATCCATATATTATTTGCATTTTTTTATATATCCTATATTATTAAGTGTTTGTATCCCTAGAACACTACAAGAATCATTTGAAATAATCTCATGATCACTTATAGTATTAATACCCAATTTTTTAAATAGGTTAGTAATTATTATCCCATATATGTTGAATAACCCTTATCATATCATTGAATATAAAGTGCACAATGTTAGGTAGTGCTCTATATTTGATTTTATACATTCACCAATAATCTTATTTCCTAATAGTAGAGTATTGGGTTTCAAAGGGTGTTAACACATGAGTAACAATGATTTGTAACAACCTATTTTGCTTTGACAACCTAAAGGCTTGAATGGGGGCAACCATCATGAAATTATATTCAAAAAGATCTTTTGCTAGGCCAACTATATTACATCTAGTATTTGTGTCTCTCTTAACCTCTAGCATGAAAGCTTCATCCAAAAGTTATATATTCACAATAATTTCTCTTTCCATCACATAAGTTTTAAATCTATTAGCATAAAATCTATTTCCTTGCCCATCAATCTTAATACAGGTAGCATTGTTATAAAATACACTAACTAGGTTCTCAAATACACTACCTTCATGCTCAAATAATCAATTCATCAAAATTCCTCAAAGGCACTAATATATGGGAATTCAATTGAATGTAAAAAGTTAAGATTAATTACCTTTCTTGTCTTGATGTCTAGATGAGAAAAATTCATTTTACAACGATCTTTAGCTGCAGGGTTCTTGAAATTTTGGTTGAATAAGGGTTTTGAAGGCTTGCTAGAAGCTTCCCTAAAAGGATTTCTATGTCTAGATAATGA